CTGAAAGTAGCGGAAGTGAAATTGGATCAGGTTTTGCCCAGCGTTTGCGTTTGGGTTTGAGAGTACATACTTGTTCTTCTCTTCAATGAAAAAAATTTATCCCCTCTTGATGCGGCGATATGAAAGAGCCCGTACATAAGTCTGGCTGACCTTCTCTATGTCGAGCCCGTACATAAGTCTGGCTGGCCTTCTCTATTTCAAGCCTGTACATTAGTCCGGCTGACCCGCTCTATTTCGAGCCCCTGTCGGGAGTTGGAGTTTACGGTTGCCAGGATTGATGCCGACCTCACAGAAGAGAAAAGGAGAGTTGTGTTTCAGAAAATGCTTGATGGAAAAGCTTGGAAGAGGGAAGTCAATGGCCAGATAATGCTTGATAATGTGAGCCTTGAAGCGTTGATTGGAGAAACTTGATTAAAGAAGTCATGCTCAACGCCTTTTGTTGATTACAACAATATTAATAAAGCCAGGCTCATGACTACTAAACAAATTAAAAAAGTAAACCGAGGGTGGTGTACTTTTGCACATATTTGAGGTCTTGTCAGCATGCAGATGATGAACACGTTTGCGGGCCTGGCGCTCAAGTAAGTTGTTGATTAAATACCACACATCTTGACAGTGATTGGTATAGGCAGGTTGGGAACAGAAGTGAATGAAGTTCGCAAGTCTGTCTCTGGAGGCGAGTCACTGTTCGCTGATGCATGTGTGTTGCTGGACTAACTGGTGGCAGTGATTGCGACAGATATTTGCATTTGTGCTCACAGGTCCACTTTTCACCTTCCTAGAATTGTATAAAAACAAATTTTACATCAAGTGCAACTCGCGCAACTCGAACCGTGTTCTGCCCAACGCCGTGCAGACGCTCGCGCGCACTGCACTACAGTTCAAATGCAATGTTGCAGGCGGAGGGCCATTACGACTTAACGTTCGGGCATTGTCGCAATCGTCTGCTCCGTCTGTCACGAAGCCTGAAGAATCTTTTTGTTTGAACGCTCTTGTCAATGCCCAGACGATGGAAGGTAAAACCCTTGCTTGTAGCTTACGGCCTAGCATGCCGGGTTATCGTTTCTTTTCACTTATTTCATTACCGAACAGATGTTTCGCCATCTCGTGAAGATTTATTCAAAGTAAAGCAGCTCCTCAATATCAGTCGGGAATGCAGGCCCTGAGCCTGATGACAAGTTTTCGGGAAACGTGTGTCAGCCGTGAAAAGCCCCCACAGCTTCATTCTCACTGTTGTCTCGTCTTCCACCCACAGTCTCGATTCGTTTAACAACGTCCCCTATCATCTTCTGTCCTAACGCCAACCGCATATGCCTGGAAAGAGCTCTTTTATCCCAGCACTTCAATTATAGTACCAAAACTCCGCAGACGACCACATACTTTGAGCACGGTAAACTGGCCATTCTTGTAAACCCTTGCAAGTAACCAATCGAATAGCAATGATAACATCTTCCTTGAAGGGCCCCGCCACGCTGAATGCACCCATACTGCCTATCTAGGAAGGTTACCTGTCGAGGGGATGAGGGGAGGCGATATAAAGTGACTAGAAAGGGTGGCCTACTTTGAAAGACGAATCGGAGAGCCCCATATCGAATCCGGTAGCCAGGCCATGCGGAGCAATTTTGAGGAGGAGTCTTCCGCGAATAAATACACGGCTATACAAATGTGACGCAGAGGCCTGCGAGTTCAAACCGAATGAGCTTGAGGAGAGTGGAGACAAAGATGGTGTGCAAGTATCTGTGTAGAAAGCAGTTAAGGATGGAGTTTTGTGTTACTGTTATCCGATCTCACTCGCTGAAAAGCTACTTGTTGTAAATGTTCGGCCCCGTATATGTACTTTACCATAATAAGACATAGAATGTCGTTAAGATCGTACGTCTATGTAGTTCGTCGTGAGTCAGGGGGCCGTTACAGTTGGTGTCCAAAATATTTATAAATTCGAGCCCAGAAGATCAAGAAACAAAAACGTTTCATAGTCTTCTTTCATCATTCTCTTTTCCAGTAATAGGCCGAGGTCGGCATGTCCGCTTCCCTCAGCCATCATCTGCAAAAACAACAATCAAACCAAACAGCCAAGAACGTCGCGCTCACCTTCGCAGTCTGACCATATTCTGTTTTCGCAAACACATCGGCATTCCACTTGTCAATCAGCTCCAGACACAAATCCTTGTATCCATTCAACGCAGCCATCATGAGCGTCGTGACCTTTTTCTTTCCATCGTGCTTATTTACTATCTGGGCACCATTCTCCAACAGCATTCTTGCCGCTTTCGCATTCCCACCGCTGTTACAAATACGCTCAAGCGCCGTCAACCCATTTGAATCTTCACGAGTGACATCTGCTCCTGCATCAATCAACGCGTTTACAACCTCGAGTCCATTCTTAAAATTGGCGTGCTCGACTGCCCACATAAGGGGTGTGCTACCTCCTTGGTCTGGAAGGTTGATGGCGAGTTGAATGTCCTTGTCCTTCAACAGGGCTTCCACCACGGGCAGGTTGCTATAAGAGACGGCGAGGCTGAGAGGCGTTTTTTTGGATTGCGTGCTTGTTGTTTGGTTAGCGCCATACGAGAGTATGGCCTCCACCATGGCGCCAGTCCCCTTAAGGGCAGCAAGCTATAGACAATTTTCAGCTTGGAACAAAATAACAAAGCGGGTACTAACCATTAGGAGCGTTTTCCCGTTCTTATCACGCATTTCAACATTGATTTCCGGTCTGTACTCATCCATGAGCTCACGAAAGGCCCCGACGTCATTTTCTGTTACGGCGCGGTACAAACGCAACTGAATCTTCAGAATTTTTGATTCATCTGTTCACAAGGAAGATTATGTGTAAGGCGGATATGGCGGATTGAATTGCACAAAGTGAGGCTATTTCGCGCGAACCTGTTGTCTGTCCAGCCGTCTCGACGTACTTCGAGCTAAACTCGTTAGATTCGGGATCCCATATCCTCATTTTAAAGCGATAAACCGTTTCTGGCTTCAGTCCATCCACCACTACGTAATCGTCAGACCCTTCATACACGCGAACAAAATCCGGATCATTTGCCTCCCCCCGGACAATCTGCACGGGCGTACCGTGTGGGGGGATGTTTTCCGGATGGAACACCCATGCGAGAGTCATGGTACGCGCGGTTGCCTTAAGGATTTGCAAGGCTGGGGATTTGGTCGCGTTTTGAATGTCTAAGCCATGGTAACGGGTGATGGAGGGACGCGTTGCTACGCTTCCGCGATTCTTGACTGACCCCTTTGCTGAAGGTGCCGTCACGGACATTGGAGGACCGTATGGCAGGGCAGTGTGCGTTTCGAATTGGGATGGAGATGTGAAGCACAAAAATTATCAAGTGAATTGTTCCGGAAAGCCGTGCCAGAGATGTGCGAGAAAGTGGCTGTGTCACGTCTCAGACAGAACGGCTGCCATCCGTACAGGCTAACCAGAGCAACAAGTGTGCAGATTTCAGACTGGATCTAAACCTGGAGCCATTCGTCGGCAAGATGCTGGCATCGTTCAGGCGGCTGTATCTGAACCAGCAGCACTCGGACATTGAAGCCACTGCCTTCGGCCACACATTCAAGCTGCATTTGTATGTGAGCAATGAGTAGGAGAGATATGCTATTATTGAGAGTGTCATGGAAAGACGTATAGCTGGAGAGAGGAAAAAGTCTGTCTCCCCACGCCACTTGGTAAAGCCAGACTTCGAGGGCCACAATCAATTGGCTCAAGTGTCACCGACGATCCCGAATCACTTCAACAAAATTTTCAACGGATAAATTTACGTGTGGATCTACATCCTCGTCAGCGACTTTTGTGGAAGAATCGAATGGAACGCTTTCACAAGTGTTCGAGGAAGCTGTCGCGGACGGTTACGACGAAACCGCATCAACCACTGAATGTTATCCAAAGCAATTGTGTACGTGAACATACCATCTGAAGAACTTCAGCAAATCCGATTCAATGATTCAAATGTCCCCAGTCACGACTTGCACAAAGCTGTCTGGCTGTAAATGGATCTGCTGGGTACGACACAATTGATTTGGGTGTCAGTTACGAGGTGCGCAAGGAAGTCATTTCAGATGAAGTCACTTGCCTCGCGGCAACTTGTGCTGAGCATAAAGCGAGCTTCATGCCTACGGAAGACAATGAGACAATGGACGACAGCAAGAGTCTTGTCGACTTGATCATGGTACCCAACGAGTGGAACAGCTTGTCTTGCCCATTTGGTTATGAATTCGATCGTGAGAAGTTGCAGAACATGGACGCAAACTCGGTCTCAAAGTAACACAAAACTTCTGTGGTGAGCGATCAATGAAAGGCGTGAGGTTCTAACTGTCTCTTCGTCTTGAGCGGGATCCATGTGGAAAATATCATTCGGAAGTTGGAAGCACGGATGGAAACGCACTGGGCGTCTATATGTAACGAATGGTGCCCGAACCAGTTGATGGATTCGAGAATTCTGACATCAGTCACTACGTCGATAAACGGATTCAAGTTCGTACATGGTTCCAGATTATATGCTACTTCGCGAATTCCTGCTGTGTGCTGGAATCCAAGCCAGACTTGTTCAAGGCGACTCAAAGCTGGGGATGGCGATCAACAAAGGTTTACAAATACACTTTTGGAGAGGTAGATGGGCCCGCAGCTTTGATGCCTGGCAAGTGTTCAAATGCGTTGTTACTATTGGTTGAACTTGAAAGAAAAAGTTATTGTTTGTACGAAGGTTATGCAGCAGATTGAAAAGGATAGGCATTTTAATTTCGGACTTCGAGTTTTGCTGAAAGGTTAGAAAGACTTCAGAAGCACGTGCGACTTGAGACATGCTGCATTTTGCATATCTGGTTGTTCATTCAACTTTCTTCAAGAGTAATGGCTCCACCAACCGAATGTAATGTGATTCAAGCCGCTCTTTGTGAGCCGCCTCCATTTCGCTAGCGCCCGCAAAGTAGAACGCGATTGAATTCATCCTGGTGCACGTGGTATCATGGTATCATCATCACCTGTAGGGGGTTTAGCTCAGTGGCAGAGAGCTCGGTTGGCATTCGAGAGGCCGCGTTCTCAAACCCCACATCCTTCATAGTGTAAACAAGATTCTGAATTCTTTGTTTATCTTGAGAGGGAGTCCAGGGTGGCAGAAGTTTCACATCAGGAAAGGAGCAGAAACAGAGCCAGAGTGAAACTGAGACCTATTTCTGAAGGTTCAAACCTAAGTGAGGTGTGTGGCTGCTGTCAGGCGCGTTCCCTGGGACATGGTGATGGATTATGCGAAGTTTTTGGTAGTAGCTCTCAACTCTCGCCGAGGTACATACTTGAACTTCCACAATTTGGAGGTAGGTTTTCCAAGTACATTAATGGAGCTGAAACTGGGCCTGGTGGAAAAACCTTTTCATAATACTTTTGATCCGTGGAGAGTGTACGTGACACCACTGCTTTATTAGAAAAAAAACCAAACGTCAGATAGGTACCGCTCACAATCATGTTTGCCATGGAACAATATACCAGCTTGTAATTTTTCGTGTCAGGTGATCAGCGAGAAACTTTATGCTCGTATCCATGTCTACCAAAGATTGACCAGATTAATTACGACAGCAATCGCAGACTGCTGTCCTGGTGTATCTATTGTGAATACTCTGACTTTGCATCCCAGATCTGCAAGTAGCTGTCGGATCCACAGAATCTCCTTGCCGCTTCTGAGAGCGCGGAATATTCTGCTTCCGTCGAAGACGACGCAACGACGGACAGCTTCTTTTAGAACCAGGTGAGAGAAGCTCCAAACCATATGAGGACAAACCCCAAATCGTGATTTTCGATCCTGCTCTTGAGCATAGCTAGCATCGTAGCCGTGTAGTTGCCTTAACCTGGCCTCTCTGTTCCCATCGTCAGAGAAGGTCAATGGATTCCTATAAAATAAAGACTGGAATACATATATTTTTGGATCTTCTATACTTTTGGGGATGAGTTTATACGTGCAGCCGATTTTTTTACGCATCATGTACAAAGGTGATGTGACAGGAGAATTACGAGGATTTGGGTTTGTTGCCAAACAGAATTGTCAGACCTTGATTCGTAATCCATCGCATTCCAAAATGCTCGCCAAGACCAGTTCTGCCTCAAGTAAGAGGCTTTTAGGAAAGAGCGATAATGGTATAATGCCGGAGTATCTTGGTTGGGCGATCAGTCGATGGACCTATTCTTGGCTGAATCCGTTGTTGAAAACGGGAAAGGACCACATTCTCACCATTAACGACTTGTGGACGCTTGACGGCCAATTCACAGCCGAAACGCTTGGTGGCAAACTGGATGAATGTTGGGCGAAGGAGAGAAAGCGGAAGGACGGAGAAAAGTCGTCTTCAGCAATGCGCCTGTTTCGCGCCCTATTTGACGCGTTTGGACGCAACGTACGTTAAAAAACCAAATTTTTGCTCAGTTTCGGTTACAATCTTACCTATTTATCCAGTATCTGATTGCGTCTGTCTACATGTTTTTGTATTGTCTACTTCAAGTCTCGTCCTCTATCATTCTACTGTATCTGATCAAATGGATCCAAGCTGGAAGTTTTAGAAGCTATGGTGTGTGGTATGGGTATACATTAGGTGTTGCATTGTTTATTGTGCAGCTAGGCGGAACACTCTGTTATAATTGGCATCTCGAGATGACAACCAAGCTTGGATATCGATTGAGAACTTGCTTGATTTCAGCAATCTACAAAAAAGCCTTTATAATTTCCAATGAGGCGCGAAAGGAATTCACTGTTGGGAAAATCACAAACCTGACTGCGACTGACACAAACCGCATTGATCAAAGTTGTCAATGGAATCACTACTGCTGGGCCGCACCATTTCAAATTCTTGTGTCCGTTGGCCTCCTAATATGGATTCTAGGTCCGTCGGCGTTGGTTGGATTTGGCGTTGTTGCTGTTTATATCCCATTCCAATTCCGAATCATCAAAGTTCTTTCAGGATTCCGACGTAGTGCAAACAAGTTCAGTTGAGTTATTTTTAACATTTTTGGCAGCTAGGTCAATGATGATTTATGAAATAACAGTGGATAAGCGCGTCAAGCTCATACAAGAAGTGCTCCTTGGGATCCGTGTGGTCAAAATGTATGCCTGGGAGTCCAGCTTCCTAGATATGATCACGAAGTCGCGGCTTGAGGAGTTAAAACAAATTCGCGGATTCCTGTTCTCGAGAGCGGTCGTGAACGGCGTCACCCAAGTCGTTCCCACCATTGCCATGCTCTTGAGTTTCGTCTGCTACACGCTGGTGGGGAACCCGCTGGATCCTGCGGTTGTCTTTGCTGCTCTTCAACTCTTTTACACTATTCGCAACCCTATGACGTTCCTTCCAATGATTGTCACGATGGGAGTAGATGCATGGTTCGGAATGGGACGAATCGGGGAGTTCCTTCTGGCCTCCGAAATGGAGGACGGATCAACTCGACTGCCGCGTTCAGACAATCCAGACGACCCGTCGATTGAAATCAAGGATGGACACTTCCAGTGGCAGCAACCAACTACTGCACCAGCTCCAGAAAATGGCGGCGGGGCTCCAAAGTTACCATCGAAGCCATCTACTCCGGCAGTAAAGGCTCCAGCCGCTCCACCAAATGTAGACATTCAACTGAAAGAAAATACGCACAATGTATTTGAATTGAATCACGTTCAGCTCCGGATCCCCTCTGGCAAACTCGTGGCAGTGGTGGGGAAAGTTGGCAGCGGCAAGAGCTCTTTGCTCAACGCGCTTGTCGGGGAAATGTCACGCGTGAGTGGGACCGTCACGTTTCGCGGCTCAGTCGGCTACTGTCAACAACAAGCGTGGATCCAGAATACGACGGTTAGAGAAAACATACTCTTTGGGAAACAATACGATGAAAAGCAGTACAATGAGGTGATTCGGGCATGTTCCCTTGAACGCGACTTCGCCATCCTGCCTAACGGTGATGAGACTGAAATTGGAGAAAGAGGCATCAATTTGAGTGGAGGTCAAAAGCAGCGAGTACAGATTGCTCGTGCACTATATTTCGACCCAGACATTGTGTTATTTGATGATCCATTAAGTGCTGTTGATGCCCACGTCGGTCGTGCCTTGTTTGAAAACTGCCTTCTCGGGAAACTGGCCGGAAAAACACGCGTTTTAGTGACGCATCAATTACACTTCTTGCCCAAAGTTGACATAGTGGTTTTGATGGAAGCCGGTAAAATTGTCGCTCAAACTAGCTTTGAGGAACTTTTACGTACCAATGAGAGTTTTGCAAAGCTTATGCAGGAGTTTGGAGGTCATGAAGAGGAGGAAGGGGAGCCAAAGGATCTAAATATTGTCAAGTCAGAATTGAACGAGAAAAACGCTACAGCAGCATCCATAGATGAAGATTCAAAGCAAGAAATCAAAAAATCTGAGAAGTTCTCAAAGGACGCCAAGGTCACGAAAAAAAGCGCAGAGGCATTGAAAGAAAACACGCAGCCAAAAATCAAGAAAGGCCTCATGATGGTTGAAGAAAGGAATGAGGGTGCCGTACAACTAAAGTTTTATGCGCGTTATATGAAACTGTGTGGCGGTGGCGTGGCATTATTGGGATTGTTTCTTGTCATTTTCATGGCACAAGGCTCGCGCGTGATGACGGACCAGTGGCTCACATATTGGACAGACCATGCCTTCGCATTAACTATGGCTCAATATATTGGAATTTACATTGGTAAGTGCGTTGTAAAATATGGTTTGTTTTTAGCGAAGTGTGTTGTCGACACAGGATGGTGCCTGTTTCAGGCTGTCATGAATGTCGTGTACGGCATTACAATGTCATATCTTGGGACGCTTGGTTCTCTCAACATGCATAGAGAAGCTTTGACCAGCGTGTTGCGTTCCCCATTGTCTTTTTTTGACGCCACTCCCTTGGGCCGCATCACTTCAAGATTTAGCAGAGATTTTGACGGTGTAGACAACATGCTGCCCCTGTTACTTTATCAACTGGTTCAAACCACCTTCAGCACGCTTGCCAACTTTATCCTAATCGCTATCAACATCCCCGCATTTCTCGGGCCACTCGTGGTCATGCTCATCGGATATTACATGATACAAGTATACTACCGCGCCACCGCGCGCGAGCTAAAACGCCTCGACAGCATCTCCCGTTCCCCTCTACTTGCCAACGTCTCGGAAAGCATGACCGGTCTCGCCACAATCCGAGCCTATGCCGCCTCGCATCGTTTCATTGCTAAAAACAGCAGCCTGATGGACACCAACAACCGCGCGTACTACCCGGCCCTCCTAATCCAGCGCTGGATCCAGCTGCGCGTAGAAGGCTTGAATGCATTTCTTGTGCTCGCCACGTCGATGTTTGTGATTCTTTTTGGTGGCGGATTGAGTCCTCAAATGTCAGGATTGGTGTTGGTGTACGTTACGCAGGCGACAACAGCCTTGACGGCGGTGGTCCGGCAAAGCGCAGATGCAGAGATCAACATGAACAGTGCGGAGCGTGTGATTCATTATATTGATGATTTGGAGCGCGAAGGAGGCACAGAGGTCGTTGCTACGAAGGGACTGGATCCGGCTTGGCCTCAGATGGGGAAACTGGAAATCAAGGATGTAGTGTTGAAATATCGATCAGATTTACCGCCCGTGTTGCACGGCGTTTCTGTATCGGTGGAGCCGGGAACGATGATTGGCATTGTTGGACGGACAGGCGCTGGCAAGAGTACGATTCTCACCTGCATATTGAGGTTGTTTGAGTATGAGTCTGGGTCCATAGTCATTGATGGCGTGGACATCAAGACTGTTGGTTTGCGCGATTTGCGGCACAGGATTGGTGTCATTCCACAAGAGCCCGTGTTGTTTTCGGGAACCATACGCAGCAACCTGGATCCTTTTGGAAAATACCAAGGTGCGTGCTTATTCATCGGTCAGTGAAATTGTGCTGTTCGGATGACTTAGAGAACAGACGCGGACTTGTGGAGCGCGCTTGAACGCTCCGATTTGAAAGGAGTTGTTTCGGGATCTACAGGCGGACTGGATGCAATCGTGACGGAGAACGGAGAAAACTGGTCAACTGGTCAAAGGCAGCTCATTTGTCTGGCTCGTGCCA